TGGGCAAACAACTTGTTTTTCCCTAGCCTTGTTCTTGAAAATTGCTGAACCATTATAGCTGAAACTTACACACACACAAAATCAGTCTTAGGTAGACACCTGGCTTGGAAAATTTCAGCGCAAACAGTTTAAGTATAGCAAAATTATAAGAAACTTAAAACAGAGTATTTTGGAAAGAGGCACAGGAAGTTTAGGCAGGTTTTCGTCGTGGGGAGAGGGTGTTAACTGCAGGACCAGTCAACGTTAGAGAAGGCTAGTGGGGCTAGAAAAGGCTCCATGATTTTGAAGAGAAGCCATGAGCTGCAGGCAAAAATACTGGACACCTCACAGGGCTCTGCCCAAGTCCAACAAGTCTCCAGATTGGTGAGGAATCTGAGGCAGGGAAATACATAGAGGTGTATTTATTATTTTGTATAGATCTGGGTATCTATCATGCTACTTAAGTAATGAATAGTGCTGTTTTAAAATTGTGTATTCGTCTGGGTGTCTGGTGGCTTTCTGCACGGCGTTCCCCTGAAAAGGTAAACTGTAAACCAGAAGGCTAAACACCTTCGGTGGGACTCTGGGGGAAGAAGCAACAGCCGCTGGGGAACCTTGGGGGAGACTGTGCTAGTTTCAGGGCCTATTAGAATACTGTGTCCAGTTCTGCTGTCCGCACGTGAAGAAGGATGTGGAAATAAAAACATAAGAACAGCCATGCTGGGTCAGACCAAAGGTCCATCTATCCTAGTATCCTGTCTTCCGACAGAAATACTGAAGAGAGTTGAAGTGATGACCACAAAAATGACAGAGGAGCTGAAAAAACAGCCTTATGAGGTGAGGCTTTAGGACTCAACCTATTCATCTTATCAAGGACGAAGACTGAGAGATGACTTGATCATTGTCTATAGATACTTACATATTGAAGAGATCTCATAGTACAGGGCTTTTCAATCGTGCTGACAAAGGCCTACCAAGTTCCAGTTGTTGGAAATTGAAGTTAGATAAATTCAACCACAAAATAAGATGCAATTTCCTAGAAGTAAGGGTGATAAAATATTGAAACAGCTTACTGGGGCGGTGGGGGGCTCACCATCACTTGGAGTCTTTACAATGAGATGAGATCTCTTTCTAAAAGACATGCCTTAATCCAGTTTCTAGGAGAAATTTTGTGGCCCGTATGTTGGGGAGGAGGGTCAGATTGGATAGTGGTGGTGGTCCCTGGGAGGTTTTTGAACCCCCTTGTTCATTCCTTCCCTTCATGGACCATGGAGAAAACAGGAAGTTCTATACGTCCTCGACATGCTCATAACACTTGCATCTCTGCATTAAGACAATGGCTATAATCAAATCTCACGCTTCAGGGATTCAGCCAGTCATCTGTGTGGGTCAGGATGGAATTTTTTTTCCTGATGCACCATATGCCAAAAGTATTCGAGGGTGTTGTTTTCCCTGAAGCATCAGGGCTTAGCCACAGCTGGAGACAGGATACCAGACAGGGTGGACCAGTGCTCTGAGATAATACAGAGAATCCTCTTTCTTAGATATCTGGCTGGTATGTCTTGCTCACATGTTTAGCAAATCTTGTAACTTAACCATATGTCCTCATATTTTGTCCTCTTTTTTTAAACTACTAACAAAATCATCCAAAGCACAGGAGCTGGTGGTGATGGGGGACTTCAACTACCCAGACATCTGTTGGGAAAATAACACAGCAGGGCACAGATTATCCAACAAGTTCTTGGAATGTATTGGAGACCATTTTTTATTTCAGAAGGTGGAGAACGCTACTGGGGGGTAAGCTGTTCTAGATTTGATTTTGACAAATAGGGAAGAACTGGTTGAGAATTTGAAAGTGGAAGGCAACTTGGGTGAAAGTGATCATTGAATGGTAGAGTTCACGATTCTAAGGAATGGTAGGAGGGAGAACAGCACAATAAAGACAATGGATTTCAAGAAGGCAGACTTTAGCAAACTCAGGGAGTTGGTAGGTAAAATCCCATGGGAAGCAAGTCTAAGGGGAAAAACAATTGAAGACAGTTTGCAGTTTTTCAAAGAGACATTATTAAGGGCATAAGAGCAAACTACCCCACTGTGTAGGAAAGATAGGAAGTATGGCAAGAGACCACCCTGCCTTAACCAGGAGATCTTCAGTGATGTAAAACTCAAAAAAGAGTCCTACAGAAAGTGGAAACTCGGTCAAATTACAAAGGATGAATATGAACAAGTATGTAGGGACAAAATTAGAATGGCCAAGGCACAAAACGAGATCAAACTAGCTAGGGACATAAAGGGTAACAAGAAAACATTCTACAAATAAATTAGAAGCAAGAGGAAGACCAAGAACAGGGTAGGCCCGTTACTCAATCAGGGGGGAAAGACAATAACAGAAAATGTGGAAATGGCAGAGGTGCTTAATGACTTCTTTGTTTCGGTTTTCACCAAGAAGGTTGGTAGCGATTGGACGTCTAACATAGTGAATGCCAGTGAAAATGAGGTAGGATCAGAGTCTAAAATAGGGAAAGAACAAGTCAAAAATTACTTAGATAAGTTAGATGTCTTCAAATCACCAGAGCCTGATGAAATGCATCCTAATATATTCAAGGAGCTGACTGAGGATATATCTGAGCCATTAGCAATTATCTTTGAAAAGTCATAGAAGACGGGAGACATTCCAGAAGACTGGAAAAGGGTAAATATAGTGCCCATCTATAAAAGGGAAATAAGGACAACCCGGGGAATTACAGACCAGTCAGCTTAACTTCTGTACCCGGAAAGATAATGGAGCAAATAATTAAGCAATCAATGTGCAAACACCTATAAGATAATGAGGTGATAAGTAACAGTCAGCACGGATTTGCCAAGACCAAATCGTGTCAAACCAACCTGAGAGCTTTCTTTGACAGAGTAACAAGCCTTGTGGATAGGGGGGAAGCAGTAGATGTGGTATATCTTGACTTTAGTAAGGCTTCTGATACTGTCTCGCATGACCTTCTCATAAACAAACTAGATGGAGCTACTATAAGGTGGGTGCATAACTGGTTGGAAAACCATTCCCAGAAAGTAGTCATCAGTGGTTCATAGTCATGCTGGAAGGGCATAACGAGTGGGGTCCCAAAGGGATCAGTTCTGGGTCTGGTTCTGTTCAATATCTTCATCAATGATTTAGATAATGGCATAGAGAGTACACTTATAAAGTTTGCACACGATACCAACCTGGGAGGGGTTGCAAGTGTTTTGTAAGATAGGATTAAAATTCAAAATTATCTGGACGAACTGGAGAAATGGTCTGAAGTAAATAGGATGAAATTCAATAAGGACCAATGCACAGTACTCCACTTAGGAAGGAACAATCAGTTGCACACATACCAAATGGGAAATGACTGCCTAGGAAGAAGTACTGCGGAAAGGGATCTGGGGGTCATAGTGGATCACAAGGTAAATATGAGTCAACAGTGTAACACTGTCGCAAAAAAAGCAAATATCATTCTGGGATGTATTAGCAGGAGTATTGTAAGCAAGACACAAGAAGTAATTCTTCCGCTCTACTCTGTGCTAATTAGGCCTCAGCTGGAGTATTGTGTCCAGTTCTGGGCACCACATTTCAGGAAAGATGTGGAAAATTGGAGAAAGTCCAGAGAAGAGAAACAAAAATGATTAAAGGTCTAGAAAACATGACCTATGAAGGAAGCTTGAAAAAACTGGGCTTGTTTAGTCTGGAGAGGAGAAGACTGAGAGGAGACATGATAACAGTTTTCGAGGAGGAGGGAGAAAAATTGTTCTTCTTAACCTCTGAGGATAGGACAAGAAGCAATGGGCTTAAATTGCAGCAAGGGCAGTTTAGGTTGGACATTAGGAAAAACTTCCTACCTGTCAGAATGGTTAAGCACTGGAATAAATTGCCTAGGAAGGTTGTGGAATCTCCATCACTGGGGATTTTTAAGAGCAGGTTGGACAAACAGCTGTCAGGGATGGTCTCCTTAGTCCTGCCTTGAATGCAGGGGACTGGACTAGATGACCTCTCAAGGTCCCTTCCAGTTCTATGATTCTATGCCAAAAACTAAGAGACACTATCCAATAATTCAGGCCTCAAATTTAGATTACAGAAAATAAATACATACCCATACAGATTTACCAAACCTAATAGAATTAAAATGTTGTAATTTGTTCTTATTGAAATGAGAGCATTTGTGTTAGTGCATGAGAAAACTGACTAAACAAAAGTGAAATGGACTAGTGCATTTTCATTGTTAAAATTGGGTGAAATGCAGAAGTAAAAGTACAGCACAAATGGTGTAAAGTAAAATTGGATATTTAGGAATTTTAAATGATGTAAAGCAGTATTTCTCAGTTGGTGGGTCACAAGGCATTGAGAGTTATTACAAGCTAAAGCAAAGAAATCTCACTTCCCTGCTCCCTACACACCCTTACCCTTCAAGGTCAAATCCGCTCTATCAACCTCTCTATTCATATACACAGTTAAATTATATAGGTTTATTGTTACCAATACATTTGTACTTTGACTTTTACAGTAAATGTGTAAAAGTGTTGTGAAAATGTTTTACTTCAAATAAAGGGATTGCCAACCTCAGAAGATTGAGAAACACTAATCTAAAGTATTAACAATAATGAACGTAAGTAACTTATCCTGAAAGTACTGTAACATCAGGAGTATCTGAAGGAATGAGGTAAGACCATATTATCTAAAAATCCAAACAACTTTAATGCAACCACAGTCCTACCACAGCAGTGCCTGCCTCGCCTAGCACCAGCAACAGGCCCACCACAAAAAGCATTTCCATTCTCATTCCCCCAGCTTCTCTCTCAAGGGGAATGGCAGGGGAGGGTGAATGCCCATTACAATTTTAATCAGCCTCCATCTAAAAAATATATTTCTTCTTTAAAATATTGAAGGATAAGTTAAGACATATTGCTTGCATGAGAGTAAGGGTTTGTAGGACTGGGCTCCAATATTCCAGACACATTATACATTCACTAGCCAAAGGAAAGAGGTTTCTTACTGTAGTTCAGTGGCACAAGTTCTGGGCTCTTTGGCGTTTTGAGTTTAAATGACACATCTCCAATAGTAACAGTATCCCCTAGAAAAAAAGAAGAAATATTAAAATATACTGTACACTTTTTAAAAAGCATACATGTGCTTGCAATAATGCTGACACTGGAGGCCTAGAAGTGAAGAAGGGTATGACTGCACATTCAGGGAACAGCCTCTGCTGAGTTTCAGAACTATTAATGTATTAGCATCTAACACTTTCCAATGGTTCAAGCACCAGGATATTTTTGGTTTAAGAAACACTTCCATAGAGTGTACTTTCGTTGTTGTTATAGCCAGGGCCCTCTGTATTCCACAGCTATGGAATTCACTCTTCGCCGCAGAGCTGTGCTACAGAATCTGAGCTTTCATCTTTTAAAAATTAATCTTCTAGCCCTCATGACTGCAGAACCTTGAAAATGTGACACGAGCATAACTTAATGGAGTGGTGATTTTCCGGAGTATGTAGACAGCCTGAAACAATACCTCTGAGCTGTGAAAATTGACCCATTCATTTCAATCAGTGCCCCATCAACTCAATGGTTGCACACCTGCAGAATCTGGTGTCTTCCTAAGATGTCGCAAAACACTAAGTCCTATCAGTTCTTGTGAAGTTTTAGAATTGGTAGCTTAGTTTATGGTTATATTTTTCTGAGAGACTGGGGTGGCAAATATATGGCCTGCAAGTCAGAGCTAGCATCCAGAACCCTCTCATGAATCCCCAGCTCAGCCCATGTGCTTCAAAAGGATCCTGGTCACAGCTCCCTGTTTTCATCAGCTCACAAGAAGCTACAGGGTTCAATAAATGTGTTAGCTCATTATTTTAACATGTATGCAAGATGTCTGACATGGATTGTATATATTCAGGGTTTTCAAGTATCCCTTATCTATGATTATTTTAGAGGGTCTTTCTCCTCCTTTTTTGACCAGGTGATTTTTCCCACCAACCTTTTTCTAGTTCAAACAGTATTTTTAGGAGGTGGGTTTTTTTTTTTAAACATTTTAAAAAGTTCACTACTTCAGATATTTTGTGCCTATTTGATACAGGCACATCCTTCCTTATTTTAAGCCCCATTAGGGACCACAGTATGCAGCTGAATGAGGAGACATAAAAATATCACAGCATGGACAAACGAGAGCAGACTCCACAGAGCCACTTCTCCCGTTCTTGCACAGGTGTGTGGGAAGGGAAGTGGGTGAAGCCTTCACTATACCTCTTATACCCCCAAAAATTCACCAGCGAGCACAGCTGAGCTAGCATAGAAGGGAAAGTATTTGGACCAGGTATAGAGCTGGCACAGATTACTTCCTCCTTGGAGCAAGAGAGGAATTAGGGACCATTTTGTGACACCCGAGGTTCTCCTTGGGCAACACCTAGTTGTACTGCCATTTACCCAGGGTCTGTGGCAAACCCATAAACTAGTCCTTATTAATGGACTTCTCTCAGGCCTTACAAGTTTTCCCTGATAAATTCTAAAACCCTAATTATTCCCCTTGACTCTCTCAACTAGCATTAGCTCATTCTCCAACTTTGCTGCCTTTATCTTTTCCCAGCACCCCTTAATTGGCTGTATTCTTGTTAAGTTGCACTTGTCAATTTTCCATTTCCAGTACAGATTTGTATTTTAATATCAACTTCCAGTCCTTGGCCAATCCCTCAAAAAACCACATTAGCTACTTCTCCTTACACTCTTCATTTCTGGATCAATAGTAATGTAAATGTGTCTGAATTATGATATTTTGTAGCATCCTTTCATCCTACTGTATTTTAATACCACATTCCTCTTGCTGTTTCCTGAATCCTGGCTCCTAAGAAATGCTTGAACAAATCTAACATTCATTATTTAATACCCTTTAACAGTCTACAAGAAGCACTGTATCGACAAACAACGTATGCAGTGTTTCCTACAGTAACTCCACTTACATCAATATAATAGGTCAGTCTTTCCCTGTGGCTAGTTGATGGTCATTGTACCTTTAAGCTCAGGATCCCTTTAAAACTTACTCTCTCCGTAGGCTGCAAAAAAATGTAGTAAGCCAGCACTTTAGGGCTGAAAACTACACCAAAGCTCCCCTCCCACTCCGCTTATGTGTCTGCAGCTCTAATGTCTCTTGCTCACTGGGGTGATAATGAAGGGCTGAACAGGCTGGATCCAAGTAGGATCCTGAGCAGGCTGGAAGACATCTGAAATTTCAGCAAGTGTCCCGAGGGGTCCACTGCTTGCCTGAAGCTCCACAACCCCCTTCTTCAGGTCATCTTCTTAAATGCTAAAATTCCTCTTAAAACAGATTTGTCTGATTGTCTGCCTCAGGAATTTAGTGTCAATTTGTTTTCTCGCCTTCCCCCAGCCAACGAGCGACAAAACAAGTGTATATGACTAATTAGCTTATAGCTTAAATTATTTACATTCAAGTTGTAAACATACTGTCTCTCTCCCCTATACACATGATTCGTTCAAAATACAGAAGGAATGAGACATGGGCTGAAAGGACAAGATGTGTGATACCAGACAAAGAGCAGACAAGTAAAAAAAAAAGAAAGAAAACCAAAACCAAAACCAAAGCAACTTCCCTTCTATTTTTGATGTTTTTTGTATACAAAAATAAGACAGTATAAGCTTTAGGATCACAATAGAAACTACTTTTATTTGACCATTTTCTCACCAACAGAAGTTGGTCCAATAAAAGACATTACTTCGACCACCTTGTCTTTCTAATATCCTGGAACTGACACAGCTACAACTACACTGCATACAATAGAAACTACAGCAGTTTTTTAGGCTACCTATTACATTCGCCAAGCAAAGCAAGGCCTTACACTCAACTCGATGGCATTTCTCCGTTTGCCTGTCTTTCTGTAACATGATATATTCTGAAAACGACATCCTGTCATGGACTGTTCCAGGTATCAAAGTGCAGAGCCTATTGATTTTAATGTAAATCAGAAAATCAGAAAAGCCTGAAATTCCATTAAAATCAGGCCCATACAGTGCCCATTTGGGGAAAACAGGAAGGTGGAAGTAGGGGACATACAGAGCTCCTGGCATCTGGTTAGAAAACATATCAGATTTAGCCAGCTCTGTAAAAAGAACCAGTTGATGACATCCATTAACACTGTCCAGGTTACATCCTCCTCCCCATCTCAGTTCTGCTCATGATGGCAATGGAATTTAAAATGATGATGCCCTGAACGACTTGTCGCCCAGACAGAAAGAAAATAAATAATTTTACAAATTACAAATTGTGGGGAAATGGAGGAACGCAAGGAGCTCCTGGTGTGTGCAATGAGTTCAGCCTACAGAAACATCACAGTGTGCAACTCTAGTCTAGGTTCTTCTATCATGCTTATCTCTATGGTACATATACAAAGGGACCTCACCTGTCCTTCTAACATCATCAAGTATATTACTAGGGTTCCGTCTATTGACACACGTTTTTTTAAAAATTACAAACCTATATTATGAGAATTCCAAACTTTCTCTCTCCTTATACTACCCCCATCAAAATGGAGTTAAAATACTACAATGGCACACTTGTGTCACTGTAGCGCTTCAGTGTAGACCAGGGGTCGGCAATGTTCGGCACACGGCTCGCCAGGGTAAGCACCCTGGCAGGCCGGGCCAGTTTTATTTACCTGCTGACGCGGCAGGTTCGGCCGATCGCGGCCCCCACTGGCCGCGGTTCGCCGTCCCGGGCCAATGGGGGCGGCGAGAAGCGGTGCGGGCGAGGGATGTGCTGGCCGTGCCGACCCCTGGTGTAGACACTACCTAGGCCAATGGGAGGGATTCTCCCATCGCTATAGGTAATCCACCTCCCCGAGAGGCGGTAGCTAGGTTGACGGAAGAATTGTGCCGTCAACCTAGCACTATCTACACCGGGGGTTAGGTCGATATAGCTACATCTCTCGGGTCTGCATTTTTCACACACCTGAGAGACATACCTATACCGATGTAAATTCCTAGTGTAGACCAGACCCTAGAATGAGCACAGATGAAGTCCTGAAAACCACAGCTGAACAGACAGTTTTGGGGGGGAGGGAGTGCTAGTTTAAAACTGAACCTTAACACAATAGCTCAGTAGCACTTTCCTGAAGCTGTGCAATTTTTAACTTTCACTCAGACACCGCAGAACTGTTGGAAAGTGAGCTTCTAAATAAAGATATTTGCTTATCTTGAGATAATTTAGCTAATAAAAATGTGACAACCCATGGAAACTAACACCCTCTATTTTTCTAGAACTGCAATTTAGAGTGGATAACACATTTAATACACCCCTATTCCTACAAGAAGTGACAAAATCCATGTCTACACTATGGTTGCTACTGCAGCCATAGTATAACCCCATAGTGCAGACACAGACTACAGTTTCGGAAGGGGGTCTTCCATTGCTGTAGGAACTCCACCTACCCAAGTGACAGTAAATAGCATTCTTCTGTCGACCTAACTGCCACAACATGGCGGTTTGGGGTTAGCATAGCTGGGGTACTCTGGAGTTTAGATTTTTCACACCCCGGAGTGCCGTACATATGTTGACCTAAGTTTTAAGTGTAGACGAGGCTGATCATAGGTTCTTCATATGATCAGAAGTGGCTAAGAATTAGGTCTATCAGTCAGACTATCAAGCCCATGCCTAACCCCACATGATAACAGAATTTCATGCAGCTGTCCACCCACATGGATCACAATCACAGGATTGGAGACCTAGATTTATATCTCATTTAAAAGCTCATATATTACTTTGATATTTTTTCCACCCCATCAAATTATTTTTCCTACAAGTGGTGAATAAAGAGCTATTGTTATATCTATTTTTAAAAATTTTGAGATTCAAAGGCCTGATCTACACTTAAAATTTAGATTCACATAGCTACATTGCTCAGGGGTGTGGAAAATCCACAAACCTGACTGACAGCTATCCCAACCTATGCCAACAGAAGAATGCTTCTGTTGACCTTGCTATCATCATTCAGAGAGGTGGCGTTCCTAAACGGACAGAAAAAGCCCTTACATTGCAATAGGATGCATCTATACTGTGGGGTTATGCTGCCAT